GTGCCTCTTTTCATGGGCGATAAATGCCCCTTTACACCTCTGACAATTTCCTTTTTAACAATGATACGTGCCCCTTTTCCTTTCTAATAAGGGACCCTTTTCATTAATGCCCATTTTCAACTCTTATGAATGCCTCTATCAAAATCTGGTGGGTGCCCCAATTTCGTCTACAAATGCCCATTTACTATTCTCATAAGTGCCTTTCTTAATCCTTGATGAGTGCTTCTTTTCAAGTATAAGAAATAAGTGTCTTATCCTTTTCGATAAGACAGTGTCCCCTTTTCTTCTCTTTTTAAACGTGCCCCTAATTTAAAGTGACTATTAGGGCAGTTTCTCCCAAAGCTCGCTCGCTACACTCACTCACATTGATTTCATAGATGATATAATTATGTTACTTATCAAAAGGTCTTTTCAGTCTTCCGTTATGGGAATGTGAGTATAAATAACCCCACCAGGATTGGATTTAATTCTCTTTATAAGATGTATTTTTTGGCACTGCGACCTCACAAATCTTAACATTTTTCCTCGCTCGCATGTGAATATTCAGACCATCATACCCAATTGCAAAGTATGATGCTTAAACAATATCTTGTATGATGTACAAAGAGAAATAATTATTGAAAGCATCCCTGTTAATGTAACCACAATGTAGCGGTATATACCAATGTCTAACAAATTATATATTTTTTTATTTGAGATTTCCCTTTGTAGGTACCCTTTTGTTGTTGGTCCCGTCCCCCTATTTGGAAGTCGCTCCGACACCTCTGCTCTGAGCATCATTAATTTCAGATCAGCAATTGAATTTCCCACCGTCGGTCGAAGGTTTTGTACCATGGAACGCATCGTACTCTCAATACGACGTCATGTAGCCATTGTGTGGCCCTCGCGTGGCCTGCGGGTACACTTCTTATTACAAATTTACATCTTCGTGTTGCCTTCGTGAGTGGTTCGGGTGCCATCGTGTGACCTTCTGTAGGCATCGTACTTGCTTCGGCCGTTGGTTGGCTGTTGACTAAGTTCGGGGCCATCTTCGTGCGAAGTTCAAATTTCCTTCACCGTGTGTCAACTTCGGGACAGTGTGACGCGGGCATTACGGGTGGACCTCTAGGAAGAACAGAGCCATTTTAATAATGGCTCTGAATAGAGCTTTCCCGCCATTTTTTAATTCTTGATTTGTATTATTTGTAAATTGTATGTATTGAATTTTTATACGGAATTTAAAACCAACCCAAACCAAACGTGATTCTTTCTTTATTCCAATGAGTGTCCCCCGGCCCCCGCCTTCTGATTATGTGCATCTTAAAGAGAACATTCAGTTGTTCATTGACAAAGGAGCAGTTTCCCTCTCTTGGGTTTTGTAGATGGAGTGCTCTGTAAGAGTGTGTCTTAAATAAAAACATCCCCAATGGGGAGCAGAAAAGTTGAAAAGCAGACGATTTTGGTGATATGAAATGTATTATTACTGATTCGCACACTTTCGCACACACCCATGACCTTATTAATTATAAGGCCAGGATCGTTGTTAGCCCTGTGCGTTGTAACTTTGGAATATTATGAAGAAATTGGGGGAAACTGGATATGTGGATAATGCCCCACAAAAGGGCACTAATACAGCACATCGAAACGGCTATGATCCTGGGGTCTCACAGTTACGAGGCCATTGCTTGGCCACTGAACCATGACTGTACAACGCGGGGGCTAGGGTAGGGGGCAGTTCCCACAAATAAAAATCCTGTGTACGACCATGCATTATGGCTCAAGGCAAGGGCACACATAATTTTTCTTTTTCTGTTGGGGACCGGGGGAAGGGGGGGGGGAATTTAATGAATTATTGAAAATTTATTGCATTTTCGTTGGTTTTTTTTTAATTCGTGGGAAATGCCCCCTACCCTAGCCCCCGCTGCGTACAGTCATGGTTCAGTAGCCATTCAATGGCCTCGTAACTGTGAGGACCCAGGATCAAAACCGTGTCGATGTGTCATATTAGTGCCATTTTGCGGGGCATCATCATTACTGTCATTTATGGCTTTAGGGCGTAGGTCCCCTAGTTGATAAGCATAGTAGCATAAACATGCTTTAGCAGTCACGGAAACAAACACTGGCAAATCATTATTCAATAAAATCTTAGAATGTATACTATTATCTAGATCTATTAGGAATAAATCATTGTCAAATTAATTCCATAAATTGGGGTAAAAAAAAACACTATTCCAACTATATGAGCGACAGTGTACCATTGTCTAGTCTAGAATATTAGTTTAGTCTGTCATGTCAGTCTGACATAACAACTTTCATGTAGCTATTGTTTGTGGTATTGTAATAGGTGGTCAACTTTGGCAAAGTTACATGCCACTTTCTCAAGTTAGCTCATTGATGACTGACAGATGATGTCTCAAGGGGAATGAGATCTGGAGGTGTTTGGGGTGGAGCTTAGCAAGTTTGAAAAACAAATATTTCAAAAAACATTTAAAAATCTATAAAACAAATTCAAAAGTTTACATATCAAAATATGAGATGCATGCAGGACTGCACACCAAAAGGTATACACTTGTATTTCGATGTCATGTGCCCTTTAACACAAACAAGCATACCTAGAATTGTTAAAAATTTAGCTGAATTCCGACTCAGTTTTGCACAACCTAAAAATTAGAATATGGCTCGCGGCGGGCGGCGCGCGCCTTTTTTTCTCCTGTAAACCTAGCCATCCTACCGCTGCATTTGATTGGCTCAAGAGGAACCAATACGTCATGCGCTAGTAATGAATATTCTTGATACGCACGCACACAGAATCTGATGCGATAATTTATCAAATAATGGGATTTCATACAAAAATTACAAGTGCAAAGCTATGTTTTCTTAAAATAAATGACATTGCGAGAAAACCGGGCGGCTTACCGTAAACAAAAGACTACACAGGTCGTAACTTGTCCATAATGATTACGACATACTAGATAGTCCAGAATCTGGCCAATTTTATTTTGATCTCCACCACACCGTACCAACGCAAATATATATATATCAAAATATTAATATGCAGCGCGAGGATGGCTAGGTTAGGAAGAAGAAAAAAGCGGGCGGCATTTGTATAGCGCCGTCTATCTAAACAATGCGCACAAGAAAAATAGAAAGAATGAGAAAGTTTGGACGAGAAAGTTCGGATGAGTGTCATAGTGCCAAGTACAGGTATTGTTAAAAAAGATAAGATTTCAGCTTGGACTTAAAGGTCTGTAAGGAAGTTATAATTCTCAAATTAAATCAAGATGTAACGTCCCCGAGAGCCAGTATAGAAACAGCTATGCTTCGAATATTAAAGCAATCGATATATCTTTTATATACCGAATTCATAAGCAAATATACAAGGAATTATTACCTTATCCTTTTCTTCAGTAAGTACTGGTTAAAACCAAGGAACATCACAGAAAATCTGAGACACTGTCTGTAAATCATCGCTGAGAAGTTGCCTGAATGCTACGATCACTTGGGAATAGCAGACAAAAAACACTGTATGGTATCCGCGCTGGCACGGAGAAACTGTTTACACGTACCAATGGGGATCTCAGCAAAACGTATTTATGCGGCCCGTTACCCGGGGCAACGGTCATCTTTAACAAAACTATTGACCGGTAGGAGGGCATGCGGGCATCTTTTAAAAAAAATATTGACCGGTAGGCGGGCATGGCTAAAATCACGACTTCAATTTCGACCAATTAGATGGATGACTAGATTTTATATTCAACATACTAAAGAGAGGTAAATAAATCTTTATTATCAAAGAAAAATAGAAGTCAGTCAGCATCTCAATATACAGGGTGAGTCAAAAAAAAGTTTACACCTAGAAAATTTCTAAATGTTTTAAATATCGTCTATGAACAGTAAATGAATATACATCTTATGAAAAAGGGTTTTATCCCAAATCATTTGGTATCATTTTTGTGTGGTATGTGTTCACGCTTGAATGAACAGGAGGCATTGTTTGCGAGAGTGCAAAAGTCGATTTGCACCAAAGTTGCTTGTGTGATGTTTGAATAAAACAATTGGGATTTGAGTATTAATTCGGTCTTTGCAGATCCAAATAACATCCCTAACAAAATTAATCATGCCACACATATCAAATATCGAATATCAAATATCAACGTACATTTGTGCGTGTGTGTGTGTGTGTGTGTGTGAATTTGCTTCTGCAAAAGGTATATCCACTGCATTTCACTGGATACATTCAATTCATTCTCTCACTCCGCTAATCCCAACATAATACATGCTGTAGTCATCACTTTGGCGCAAGTCGATTTTTGCATTCTCGCAAACAATGCCTCATGTTCATCCAAGCGTGAACACATACCACACAAAAATGATACCAAACGATTTGGGATAAAACACTCTTTTATAAGATGTATAATACTAAACTGTTCATAGATGATTTTTAAAATAATTAGCAATTTTCTAGGTGTAAACTTTTTTTTTGACTCACACGGTAGTGTCTGACAGTAATGTCTAGAAAGTAAACGGGTTTTCTTGCATAATTAGAATACTAGGACACTGCTAACATTGCATTTTACAGATAGGACTTGCGTGTCATATTCATAATTCCTGCAAAGTTCTACAGAATTTGATGTTTGCTGCAAATGGGACATAGTGAAGGGACAGTCCTCCCTGATAATAATTCGGTTTTTATAAAAAGCTGAATTTTTTTCGGGGGTAAATGTTCTCGGGGGAGGGGGTGTGATTTCAAAGGGGGTGGTTTTCAGGGGGTGGGTAACTGTCCTCGAAAGTAATCATCCACGTGGTGTAATTATCCTAGGGGATATTTTCCGGGGGTAATTTTCCGAGGGTGATTGACCAGGGGGTAATTGTCCTAGAACTGCCGTAATGCACCCCTCACAAGGAGACAATGTTCAACTTTGAATGAGAGGCGCCATTAAAACTAAACCAACAACAACAACCTCACTCTGCTTTACAGCTATTCTCTAAATAAGACGCCACTCCCGCACGCCCACCCCGCACCCACTTACATAATTATTCACGCTCTCGCTCCGACGCACTCAAACCAGTAATACTTGCTGTTACGGAGTCGAACACTTCACCTACCATCCATTGATTAGCTGAACGCATTCGAGCGAGGGGTCACAATTAAACAATCCTCGTGATCGAGATGTGCGGAATATGGGCGCTTTTCGGTGGTTCCTGGTCGCCCAAAACCAGCGAGCAAGTCGCACGACTTATATCATCTGCCTCTAAGGTTAGCCATCGCGGGCCGGACGGATTCCGCTTCGAGCACCTGCCCGACGTCCCTAACTGTCCCTGTTTTATGGGCTTTCATCGCCTGAACATCGTCGGGGGATCCTACTGGATGCAACCCATGAGGTTGAAGAAATATCCTCATTTGTGGCTAATGTACAACGGCGAGATCTATAACTACAAAAAGGTAATTTTCATGTTTTACCTTGATTTACGTTGATGTTGGGCTTCAAGTATAATTACTTATATGCCCCTCTGCAGCAGGATTAAAGGTAAAGACCAGTATTGGAAACGCCCCAATTTCAAAAAATGAAATGGAAGCTCTCATTACCAATCATGTGAAAGAATATGTTTTGACTAATACATGATGATAAAAAATTTGCCGGGAAACCGCCTACTAATTCATATATTTGGTAAATTTGTTTCTCTCATGGTCTGTGAGAGATATAGGGTAGTCCCATATACATCTTTCTGTGTATAGTGCTTGTAACTTTACGAAGAATGGGCCAAATTTCTTATCATTTTGATGATTCCAGAACCTTGCAGATGCTAGATGCTAGATGATCAACCTTTTCTGATCGATTCCACAACGTTTCTTTCACAATGCAATCGCATGACCATAACTGGTCTTTACCTTTAATGTCTGTATGTTCTGGGGATTGCGCCTATGTCGGAGCTTCGGACAACGAAATAGCAAGGAAACATTTCTTTAGTGTGTATATGTCATATTTAGCCCTCCATGCTTTTTCTAGGTTGGATTTGAATGAGTTTACAGATGGGCTATCAATTACATAAGCTGGATCGGAAGCGCATTCCATATTTTATTGACGACTCGCTGTGAAAACGATCACATTCGGATAGAAGTGAAGGCTCTAACTTTCGATAGTTTTGTGTCAGCTTTAAAGAGCGGCATTGTCACTCACAACATAAACCTATCCCAGCTGGATGTTCTATATAGCGTGGAAGTGCCTGGATGTACGAGCTCAAAACATAACAAGCTTTTTAATTGCACTGCCTTCCTCAGTATAATCTTATTCTTTTAACGCAACCTAATTAAAATTGTGATGATTGTTAAATGTTATGTTAAAGTGAAATCGTTTTGTTTGTGTTAATATATTTAGGAAAATGTACATGTATATGCAACTTAATGTCTGAAGACAAATTTTATGTATTTTTTGCATGACAATAAATTATCTTGAATGTTGAATCTTGAAACGCGAGATTAAAAATACATCTCGCTCTGAGTGGGATACGTTAGCTACTTGTGGTTGTATTAATTTTGCTCCATGTGGGAAGCAGGCTTGGACTTGGAGAATGGAGTATTTTCGAGTTCGAAAAATTTGTCTTATTATTACCTATAAAGACAGTACAGACAAGGCTACAGGGTTTTATTCTTGTAAAAGGGAGTCTGATTCACTCCCAGTTCCTATGAGATCAACCCCAATATAATATATCTTCTCAGACAAACAAACGAACAATAATGTTATTACTCAAAACCCCCTAGAACCACTACTGGATTGGGGAGGAGGGGGGAGTTGCTTTGTTTATAACACAAAAAGACATTCTAAAAACTCTTACTTGTTCGGACCGAGTCAGGTGTACAAATCCTCTTGAATCGCGATTTAACAAAATAGGTTGCTTCTCACAAAACCTTACAACGAATCATACAGGCTTGAAGAGAGAGAGAGAGAGAGAGAGATAATCAATCTCTAGACGATAAAACTGTTGTATTCTTCTGTACCCCCGATCTATTACTTCTTTATTTGGCCTTGTCTACTCTTTGTATTGTGACCCTGTTCTCCTATCTGTCCCGTTCTTGTCTCTGTCGGCACCAGGCACGTAGCCACGGTGGGTGGGGGGGGGGGGGGGGGGGGCACGTGACCCCCACAAATTTCGAAGATCGGTTGAAATTTTTTAAGACCCCTTTTTTTTTACCTCGATCGATTACATGTATGTGCCCCCCCCCCCCCAAACACCAAACTCTGGCTACGTGCCTGGTCGGCACCCCTCCCCCTATCCAATGAGACCGACAAAACAAAGGTTTAAATAAGGGAAGATAGAAAAAGTCGGTCTCCTGGGTTGTCGGACCAGTGTGCGTGGTTTGGTTTGGTTTTATTTTCCGTATAAAGCCCACGAGCGCTCTAAAATATATTCAAAACTATTTAAATGTTGGTTCTAGTCTTCCTTGATGTCCAGATTTCCTTGCGGGTTCTGTATTCGGGCTGTGCCTACCGCGGGCACAACAACAAGACTAATTTGGATTTGATGTCTTACATCTTGTCTTATATTTCTCTTTGTTTATTACTTTTGTGTGATTATATTTCTCGTAATTCATGCTTGAACAGCGCATAGAGTAACTTTTGCTCATTGTGCGCTTTATAAATATGGTATTACCGGTATATCATGCATAAAAAATGTATTGGTTGAGAGCTCGTCACGTGACCAGAAATATTTCAACTATTTTAAGGTTTGCTCTGAAAAAGTACTATATGAGAGTACTATTTGGGAGTACTATTTGTGAGTTGAAAAAAAAATGTGATTTTTTTTTTCTTTCTTTTCAAATAAAAACAAAATATTTTAGATCTATTTAGATAAAAAAATTGACATTTTTTGTTCTAAATTTGTTTTCTTCCCAAAAATGTTTTTTTTTAATTTTGTTTTCAAATAATTTTTTTGATGCAGGATATAAAACAAATATACAATGCCTTCTATTCGAGGCACTGGTTAAAACTATGGGCCTCGGTGACTCCAAAAGTGCCATTTGCTTCGGTATCAGCAAATAGTACTATTGGAGCCACCTCTTGCGCATAGTTTTAACCAGAACCTCTCAAGACAGTGTATATTTGTATATTATTATTATCTTATCCGCAGATCCAATCGGCTTATGGTTTCTCGTACGAGACCGAAGTGGATGGAGAGGCTATTATTCATCTCTTCTTGAAAGGCGGGGCTCATTTCGCTGCTTCCATGCTCGACGGGGTTTTTGCGTTCTGTATATTGGACACCAGCAAAAAACAGGTATGATACTCTTATTATTTTATGGCCACTCGAGTGAGACTAAAACAGCGGTCTTTATCATGTAAAAGGGAATATGTGTAAAAATGTACAGGTTCTTTATTATATGTCAATGAGAATAACTATTCAAGGCAACAAAAAGTTTCGGTCTTTATAGATGCACAAGTGGTCCAATTTGCAAATATTTGGCACTGTGCATTTTCATTGTAGTTCCTTGTAGATCACGTCGACTAGACCCACTCGAGGACAGACAACGGACTTAACACACCACCCCCTCCCCCAAAGAGAAAAACATTTCACATGTCCTAAATCTGTAATATTTGTAGTTGTGCCTAGCTTGTTTGTGTTGGGGGTTATCGGCCCTTTGATCCCATGCGCAAACCTAATAAACCAAGGACTACAAGCAGGCCTAGGACCTCGACTATTGTCACTAATCATATGTATCTGCTTTTTGACCTTGACGCAAGCTTACTAACCTATCGAGGCAAGGAAAGCCCAGGACTATGTCTAGAGATGATTCTTATTTCATTAAGTTATCAAAAGGATAATTATTTAGGATAACAAGGCTTTAAAATTTACATTCACCCTAAATATAATTATTGCAAATATGTTTTTGAACAACCCCTATTTAGAACAAATCTATTACGTCATTAATAACTAAGAGAAAGGAAAGTTTTTGAAATTTTCTATACAGAGGAAAATGGAGAGGAGATCCCAAATTACGTCACAGTGTTGCCAATTTGTGGTTTACTGATGACAACTTCAAAAAATTCATTACTTTCCTTCTTTTATTTGGATATTGCTCAAAATTTCACTAAATTTTTTCCCTCGTTTTTCTGCTTTTATCAAAAACGAACTTAATATAAAGGGAATGTAAGGGGGGACTTCCCCTTTAATGAACATACCCATCCACTGCTTACATGGGTTATACTGATATGAATATTGTACTTTGGTTGCTTAATATCTCCCATAGATTCATCTTGGCCGGGACACTTATGGAATTAAGCCACTCTTCACTTCAACCCCCAATGACTCTCTCCTACTATGTTCAGAAGCCAAAGGTATTTAAATGGAATTTCAAACGAAATCAGTCTTTGCAACCGTTTTGAAACATTATTTAACCAGTATGAATCTACATGTTATAACCAGTGTATGGATACTCTTAAAGGGGATGTAGCATGACAAATACTGGTTAACGACATCTACGACTTCTGTTGGACAACTGCACGTAAACGCATGGACTTGATTAACGGTCACCGCGCGCTAGCGTGATCGCGAAACAGTCCGAAGTTCTCCTCACGCTTCGGTTTTGCGTAACTTAGAGGCTGTTCACACCGCATTGAGATAGCGCGGTCTATCGTAGCACCCCCCTTTTTTTCTAGCGCGCGCTAGACCGCGCTCTCTCTCGTGGACCACCCCCAAGAGGTGCTCCAGTGGCACGCCATTTTGGCTCGCCGTGGCTCGCTGTTGGGCGGACCGAAACGTCGTTGTACCTTCCAAACCGCAGAGATAGCGCGGTCTAGCGCGCGCTATCTCTGCCGGTGTGAACAGCCTCTATGTTGCATGTATATTTGAATACTGCGGTCGCGTCGTCTTCGTCGATACCCGATTGGCCCCGAGTCGGGCCACTGGAAAGACACGTAGTCTCGTCATGCTACACCCCCTTTAATTTAACTTGAGTGGATTCATGATTTGGTAAAAATGGAGAGGCACCTTGGCCGCGACTTGTATAGTATAAAACTGCTCTTTTACGACCACGCCCTATGATTCTATCCTGCTCTGTTCAGAAGCCAAACGTATTGAAAGGAAAATCTCACATGAAATCGGTCTTTACAAACATTTTGAATACTTATTTAACCAATATAAATCTACATGTTAAAACTAGAACAGGCATTGATGCTGCTTGTAAGTGTCGGCTTGCATGGTGATGTAGATATACAGTAGGCTTGCAGGTGCACCATGTGTGTGTGTGAGAGAGAGAGAGAGAGAGAGAGAGAGAGAGGATTGAGGAGTCCTGAATCCTCTCTCCGACGACGGATAGTCAACCTGTTCGAAACGTCGAGCCACTCCCGCCACTCATCCTCTCGAAGCGCTATAGTTCTCCTTAGAACTATAAGCTAAGAAAGATAACCAACAGTCTTTTTCAAGACTACACAAACAGTCCTTTTCAGGACTACACACCCTAAAGAAAGATTACCGAGAGTCCTTTTCAGGACTCCTCAATCCTCCCCCCCCCCCTCTCTCTCTGACACATGGTGCACCCGCAAGCCTACTGTATAGATATGAGATTTATTTAGCATATTCCTATTTTTTTTTTTTGTAATCAGCTCATGATATCCATCAGTTGCCATAATGTCTATGTCAATAACGAGCGTCTTTTCTAGGGCTTTTATTTTTAAACGACATATCTTTCCTCGAATGAATCTCTTCGCTGTGTATCTAGGTCTGGTGAGTCTCTGCACCGGAAGTGATATTAAATGGTTCCCACCGGGTCATGTACAAACATTCAACATACTTTCCGATGGCAAAGTTTCCACGGCTTCCGACCCCATCCGATTCCATTCAATTGATACCAAACCGAAATCGAATGAAATCGACGTGAACATGAAAATTGAATGTAAGTTAATTTCTTCCCCTTTTTATTTTTAAATATCATCAGCATGGAAGAATATAGAAATACTAAAGTGGAGGGAGTAGCCGAACCAAATCTTCACTGCCAAGAAAAGAAAAAATATTTCCATTCACAAAAATAAAGTAAAAGACTTTACAGCTCGATCATTAATATGTATGTTATTACCAAAGAAAAAAAGAAGTCAGTCACTCACTCAATAGTGTCTGACAGTGAAGTCCAGGGGTGTACGCAGGGGAGGGGTTTTGGGGGTTCAAACCCCCCCCCTTTGGTTTTTTTTATGTATGTAAACCCCCTAAAAAAACCTAAACCCCCCCCCCTTTGGATTTTTTTAATTTTTTTTATTATTATTTTTTAAAAAAATATAAAAAATATATATATATATATATATATGCCCACGGCTAACCTAAAAAAATGACCTTACCCCCCCCCCCAACAAAGAAAAATGTCAAATTTTCAAATTTCGAGACCCCAAAAAAAAAAAATTGTCCGCTTATCCCCCCCCCCCCAAAAAAAAAATTGTCCGCTTATCCCCCCCCCCCCCCCCCCCCCCCCCCCCACTGAGCGACTTTTCGGCTGGCTGAGTCGTTGCGATTTTTTCTTGGACTCCAAAAAAAAAAAAGGTCCGCTTACCCCCCCCCCCCCCCCCCCCACTGAGCGACTTTTCGGCCGGCGCGATTTTAAATTTTCGGGAGCAAAATATTTTGGGCCCGATTTTAAACCCCCCCCCCCCTTGAAAAAATCCTGCGTACGCCCCTGGTGAAGTCCTTGCATAATTTGAATACTAGGACACTGATAACGTTTAAATTTCACAGATAGGACATAAAATTGCTAAGTTCTACCGAATTTGATGTTGGCTGCGAATGGGACATAGTATCTTTAAGTAAAAAGGTGTCTGGTCCTGTTTCCACAATATTGACTTTGTATTCTTCACAAACTATCTAGGCTGTTTAGATTTACAAGTGCTTATTTTGTTCGCAAGGATATTAAAAAAATTCTAAATCATTTAGATTATTATTTTGTAATCGCTTGCCTAATTTCTAAAATATAACGTCATATTCATTAACGTCTTTGTTGCCATGGTTACAGTCGGTCTCTCTGATGACGTCTTGTCTCATATCCGTCGTCTTTTCGTGGATGCTGTCCGGAAGAGGTTGATGAGTACCCGACGCATAGGATGTTTATTATCAGGTATTCCGATTCTCTCTTCCTAGCGATGCTCGGTAGTTTGTTATGGTCTTTGTTCAGGCGATTTCGATAGCCCTGGCCGTCACCCTTATGTGACCACCGCCGAACATAAATAAAATGGTCGTGTGAAATTGCCCTCAAAACCCCACTGCACTATTTATAGCTACTTGCGCCCTCTATATAGCAAACAATTTCTTATAGGTTATCATTGGTCCCCATGATCCCCTTTTTCTTATGTTAAATGAGAGCTGATTTGATGAGATAACCACCTGTCAGTGACCATGCAGGGAGGTCTAATCCCTCCTGGCCATACTAGTGCACACGGGCTTTAATTGATCTTTTCGATTCAGAGTCCTCATACATTGGGCTAAAGTAAAGACGGAGGAACTGTGTGCAACTTAAGGGAAGAACAGAATGATGATGACACATCTTTTGGTCTCCTCCCAAAATTCTGTACCACGAAATACCGTCCTTGACTAGACCTCAACTGGACCGAGTTTGTTTAATGACTCGAGAAGTAGAAGTGTACTTCATTTGAAAGACAATAATATGAAATAGTTCCCGAAGAGAAAACTAAGGTGTCATATTTCGTTAACATGGCTTGAAGTATTGGGGATCTTATTTTGCAATCATCAAATTTATTGATTCATTACTATTAAGTCTTGATGTCATTAATTCATTCAGGGGGGCTTGATTCCAGTCTTGTAGCGGCCGTGGTATCCGAGGCTCTACGTGAACAACCACGTGGATACTCACTACAAACATTTTCTGTCGGGATGGAAGGTAGTCCTGACATAGCAGCTGCGAGAAAGGTAAATAAATAGTCTAGAGTCTCTGTTGAGCAGGAACGGGAAATCCAACATTCATTCTTTTGTCCATTTCAGCCTCTTCCGTCCAAGCCCGTATTTCAGTCATGGCACCCTTTTCAGAAATAAAAAGTTTCGTGTCATTCCAATCCGAAATTCGCATAATATTACGTGTACATCACTCTGAAACTCGTGAAGTGCCATTTGCACACCTACGAGTATATTTGTTTCTATTTTTTGCGAGCGACTGAAGCGAGTGGGCCAAAAATGACATCTTTTATATGTTTTTTTAAAAATGTTTTTTAATCAACACACTAGAGAAGATACAACATAAGGTATGCAGGCAACTTACTGCCATATTTACGTAAACATGAGGATTTGGGGGCATCTCTTTGCCCGGAATCATCGCGTTTCTAAATATTGCGAGCGAGTGCAGCGGACGAACTAGTAAATGTTATTTTGATATAAATGACATAAAACATATTTTGTCAAATAAAATGTTATTCGGGCACCAGCTTCTAATTAATTCACGCGAGCAAATGAGAAGGCTCTTCAGTGTGCCAAGTCCTGGCAGAGCATTTGAGGACACGAAAGAAAAATACAAAGTGTATATATCCTGTTCTTGAACATGATATTATTTATTTTTGGTGCTTGATAAATCTAGATATTTATCACAACTATGACATTTTAGATGGTCACCATTTCGTGTTTTTTTTTTTTCCTTTATTTATTTATTTTTTTTTTAAATTCAGTTATGAGTTCTGAGTTTTTGATCGATCGGGTAGGTGGTACATGCACAACATTTCTTATTATAGGCTATGTATAAGCTTGGCTTGTTAGAACTCTTGTGAGTAATGTGCCGCGGGATTCCATATCCTCAAACTGCTGGCGAACAGAGCAACAAGACCAAGCTCTGTAATTATTAGGATCTCTGTCCAGTAGTGCCGTGTTTGTGCCATCGAACTGGATCGACCAAATCAATTGATTCATAATATATATATATGCAATACTTTTTCCCGTAACATGCATGGGTTTCGATCCTTACGTAATACCTATTCATCAGGGGGGGGATGAATGAATAGATCATCCCCCCTGATGAATAGGTATCAGTTACAGATCGACACCCATGGTAACATGAGAGTAATTTTAATAGTTTCACACTATTAATTAAATGTAATGTTAACTGTTATTGTATAATTGTTTTAAATGAGGGCACGCTACAAGAGTCCTATCTCGCACCCCGGGGCAACGTGTCTGACACGGCCAGTTGTAGCAACTACTCCGAAGATCAAGATTACATTAATCTTGATCTAAGGAGACACGAACGAACGAAGCGAATCGAACGAGGAATAAGTACACTTTTTAACTTTAGAATGCTATTTTCTCATGAAATTACATACTCTAAAAAACAGTTTCTTATATTTCGTTTTTCATGAAATGGAACTTACTCCAAAATAATTTGTTGATATAACTAGATTTATCCCGCGGCACCGCGATTGAAAAACGCTGATCCGATTTAATGGTGGGTGTAGGACGACAAAAACTAAAAGATTAAAACTTTACAAATTGTTGGCGACAAACTTATTCTCTCAACAGAGGCAAAGAATGTCGAAGACTTTATTTTCTTAAACCTATAGTCCATCTTCTCATCTTCGACGACCGGACTTTTCCGTTTTTTTATTTTTTTATTTTTAGGTTGCCGCTCATATCGGCAGTGAGCATCATGAGATCCCATTCACTATCCCAGAAGGCATTGCGGCTGTTCGTGACGTCATATACACACTAGAGACCTTTGACATCATGAGCATCAGACCCAGTATAGGTATGTGACACGTGACTTCTGATGACTTGCGAAATTTAATATGACGAGACTGACTCTGACGAAAAAGAAATAAAAAAGAAATAAAGCGCCAAACTAGAATAAAAGAACGACAAACGAGAGGTAACAAAACACGACGAAAAACAAATCATCCAAAATCGTTGATATACACCGATTTATTAAAAAATACAGATGAAAGACATAGCTAAACGATAACGGTGGTCAAATATATAATGGTGATATTTCTTTCTTTTAAGGAACAAATCGTTGACTTATGTTTTTGTATCACTTGTTTGTTATCCCCTCGTCGACGAAGTCGGAGGGGATATAGTAACGCTGCCGTCCAATCCAATCCAATCGATAACTTCAGTAATGTTTGACGGATTTTAATCAAATTTGAAATGAAGGTACATGGTATAAAAAAAAAGCCTAAGTTCAATTTCCGAGTATGTAGGTCAAAGGTCATAGCTCATTAAATATGCGAATCTGGTTTCCGATCCATAACTTTAGTATTGTTTGACGGATTTTAATGAAATTTGATATGACATGTACAGCCTAAGTTCGATTTCTGAGTATGTAGGTCAAAGGTGAAAGGTCATAGCTCATTAAGTAATATTTAGGCCTATGCAATATTATTCAAGTTTGAAATATGCAAAAACACCTAGTTATATATGTGAAAATGTTGTTAACTTCCTTGCCTAGTAATATAATAGTATAGTCCAATGGAGGTACTTGTTTTGGCGTATATAGGCCATGTGTACCCTGCGAGGGGATGCTACGCTTTGCATTGACTTGTTTTGATTGTTTTGTTTTTCGTGAAAAGAATATTTTATTAAAGAATAATCCTCCCTCATTCTGTTGATAGCCATGCACTTCTTACTCAAGTACATTCGTGAGCAGACCGATACCGTAGTGGTCTTCTCAGGCGAAGGGTCGGACGAGCTGGCGCAAGGCTACCTTTACTTTCACAAGCAGCCGAACCCCGAGGCAGGGGATGCTGAGAGCAGACGGCTTCTCCGAGATCTTTACATGTATGACGTCCTACGAGCAGATCGTATATCTTCGGTACATGGGTAAGAGTCTTTGGGTGGTATTCTTGAAAGCGGACTAACTTTAGTCCATGGTTTAATCCACCGACTAAGTATGGAATGCCAAGTGTCCATATGAATATATTTTTGAATAATTTGATATGTCCTTAAATAACCATGATTACATAATTATATTATAATTGTTGTTTATTGATTATGTGATTACATTTAATTTTAATTTATTGACAGATTAAAGTATTCAAAAATATATTCATTATGGACACTTGGCATTCCATGGTGTATTAAACCATAGACTAAAGTTAGTCTGCTTTCGGAAATACCACTCTTTTACATTTAGACATGACAAGAACAACAAACAAAAACAAACAACCAAACACACAACAAAACAAAGAAAAACAAAACAATATCCCCTTCTAAAAGATTGTTGAAAAATCAAAAAGCGATTCGGTCAACTTGCAGTAAGTGGGCAACGACATTACAGGACTATCGTGTCAGTTTCAATTTATTGTTTCATATTTTACACTTTCACATTGTACAATGATCTCACAAATTAAATGGTGCAAACAAATATGAATTCTATTGAAACAGAATAAAACGGAAGGTCAGTACCTCGTATCGATTTGTTTGCACTCAGTATTAATTGAACTTAAGAAGAATGATGTGGAGGTAACCTACGATTTGTAATGATAAGTGATCGAATAACTGTATGCATGGTAATTACTTATCTAGGATATTTGAAGCTCGGATAACCAAAATGCACCCAGACAACACCCTTGAAGGACAGGGCGACTAACGGACGACTACCACCAACTACTAACCAGGACATTTCTTATGCACTCCGCTAAGATCCTCCATCCGAACAACAACTACAGGACAGTGGCCTTTCTGGAACAGTTGCTACCCGGGCAATCGCCTCCATTCTGAAAATCAACCTGACGCAAATTTGATAGCCATTGAAAAGTCTGAACTTTACAATTATTACATAATCCATGATTCCACGGGTAGAACAGTAAGATATTGAAAGGTAATTTTTCGGAGGTCCTTTTGATTGTGTTTTATTTTAATCGACACAATTCCGTAAAATTTGGGTATTTCTTTTTCGCATTCTAGCCTTGAGATCCGAGTGCCATTCTTGGACCACCTTTTCACATCCTACTACCTCTCGCTTCCGGCAGCGTTACGCCGACCAATCAACGGTATTGAAAAGTTCTTGATCCGAAAGTCCTTCGATGATGGTGTTGTACTTCCGGATGAGATATTGTGGCGTACCAAGGAAGGATTTACTGATGGCGTGTCTTCCGTTGAGAAGTCTTGGTATGTTATCCTCGCGGAGCACTTCGAAGAACAGGTATGATATCATATTCATTCAGTCATAATCCCTAGCCCTTTTATGGTTTACCAAAATAAAAAAAAAGATAAAAAAGAGCCTCCCCAGCTATCCGGATTGACATGGCCCGCGGTCCGGTCTTTGTGCAGCGCCCTTTCGTTTTGCCCTTGTAAATTATCTATCTTTTCCTTTCTTGAGTGTTTCGATACAGCTTTGTGTATATAGGGCGAAGTTTTGATATCACTATTAATTAGACTCAATATTATTTAAAGAGTTAATTAAATCGGAAGCCATACTACTCTTGGGACGAATCACCGTAGGTCACTCGTTTAGGTCGAATATTCGAAACAAAATTGGAACAACATTTCTGTTTTTACTTTCTTGGGTGCACCACAAGGGCATCTCTTCCATTTTTGTAGTCAGCGGCCTGAAGTCAAAGCTCACGCTCATTCTCAGAATTTAAAATAAAACTGAGCCGAACAGTTATCCTTTCTTTTGTCAAAACTATTTTGCCATGAAATTTACAGATCACAGACAGCATGCTGAATGAGGCTCCAACAAAGTTCCCTTTCGTTACTCCGACTACAAAGGAGTCCTACTACTATCGAATGGTCTTTGAAGAGTTCTTTCCTGGACGGGCCGAATGGACACCGTACATGTGGATGCCTCGTTGGGTGGATGCAAAAGACCCTGTGGGTCGGGCTCTAAAGCACTATGCACACGGCACACATGATCCTTCCAAGGGGTATGAGTTTTGCCTTGCGGAGATCCTTAAAGGCACTAATGGAAAGAGCGTTTAGGAGTTCATCCAGCGACTCCGAGGCAGCTGTACTATGATATCCACTTAGAATCATACTACTCACGCATACACGGGCAAGGACAAGATGGAACACAGTCAACAGCTTAAGTCATTTCGATATTGTAAAGAAACCTGTCCCAGAATGCATTCCCTATCCCCATTTCAAGTCAAGTAGAAAAGAGGGGCAGGGGCAGGGGAGGGGGAGGGGGTAGGGAGAGGGAAAAGGAGAGGGGGAGGAGAGGGGGAAGGAGAGGGAGAAGGATGAAAGGAGGAGAGTCCAATGAGTTAGATAAGAGGAAATGAAGGGAGAGGGTTTTGGGGTAGATTGTGTTTTTATAAAAGGGAGAGGGAGAGGGAGAGAGAGAAGGAGAGGGAGAAGGGGAAAGGAGGGGGGGGGGGGGAGTCCAACGAGTAACATAGGTGGAAAGGAAGGGAGGTGGTTATGGGCTATATTGTGTTGTAATAAAAGAAAAACTCATAATTTCAGATTCATTCATAATTATAACAATATGTTAAAAAATATGATTTTTTTTTTTTTTTTGGTAAGTATTCAGTCTCATTCTGAAAAAGAAAGAAATGTTTGTTCTAGTTTTGGGGATGAAATAAATGTGTAGGTTACTTACTTACTTGGTTACTTGGTTGATTAGCCCTCTTGTCCTATGGGAAGGGCTCTCAGTTTTCTCTTAAAGGTAGCCACAGTAGGTGCAGACACTATGTCGTTAGATAAGCTGTTCCAGGGTTGGACCACTCGATTTGAAAAAAAGTGGCCAGCTAGTTTTGTGCGAGTACGTCTTTGGTAAAGTTTCTTAGTATGACCTCTTAAATCTTAGTAGTGCGGTAATATTTTCCTATTATACGATTGTGATATATTTTAGTCCTATACATTGTGAAATTATGAACAACGAATTATGTTGTATTTATGTTCGTTTATCAAATGATAAAAAAAGCCTTGTTATAATGATGTTGCAGTTTTGTATAAACTATGATATGTACGAAAAAGAAATGAAGTTTTGAGAAATAAAATCAATGAATACAAAAAATAGTGAGCATAACAATAAATGAGTCTCTGAAAGAAATTTGCAAAAGTTGGCATCTGGCCATTTAAATGTTAATGACCATTCCCATCTTGTAGAGTCAAATTAAAACAATTTCAAAAAAAGACCAATCACAGAAACAAGAAAAAAGAATCATCCTGAGCTCATCAATTATCCTCATGGTTTCTATTGTTTTAATTTTCATTGTTAAATACCCTGTCCGATGAAAATACGACTTTATGTCAATGGAAAGCTGAATGAACATTTTAAGTTATTTTCCCTTTCAGTATTGCACAAAAGCGAATTAAAACCTTATTTTATTCACTTCTTCAAATCAAAGGTCAACAGGGGACAAATTCGCCGCAGTTACAGTGCTTAATTAATGCAAAATCAAATTTGCGTACTCCACGCCCCCCCCCCCCCCCCGGGGGGGGGGGGGGGTACTCACATATTAAGAATACGGGGGTGTGCCGCTCTAATTGGTCACTTTTTGACAAAAAATACCTTTAAAAATGGGTCCGTTTTTTCAAAATTGCAACGGTTAATTGAATGTGCCTTTCCAAACGTGAAAGTTCAAAACGTGATCTTAAGTTATATGTTGGTACTTGGTAGAGGTAGTAATATTCCTTTCATTTGATATATGTTTCATTATATTCTATTGATGATTTACATAATTACATTTTTAACAATATAGAGTGTCCACCTGTTTTTTGGCAGACTGTTTTATTATTCGATAGGGTTAAGGTTTTTGGTAAGGTTTATTGATAACAATTCAAAGTAACAGCTAAAAGCCAACATATAACTGCAACATGCAAAAAGTACAATGTAAAATAGGCAAATATTAATTAATACATTTAGTAATTCAATCGATATGGTAAAAGGAATAAAAAGAGAAAGAAGAAGAGAAAGAAGACATAAATAAGGAGGAGAAACAAAGGGAAAATGGGGTAAATGAAGAAAAAAGAAGAAGAAGAAAATATGGTTATTAATAAAACGAGATATGAATTCGTCACTTGAAGACGAATGAGTTGGTCTGCCTGTTTTTTTTCTAAAGGATCTTTGTTGTTAACGGAGAGAGAGAGAGAGAGGGAGAGAGAGAGAGAGAGAAAGAAAAGTGACCAACCGGGAATCGAACGTGGGTCGTCGGGGTGGAAGGCAAGTGCTTTAACCACTATACCAAATATTATACACAGAGACATTGCACGTAAACGGAAAATGGGATTCTCAAATCACATTGTGTTGTTAAAATATCAGCATGATCCAAACTTCTGATTAAAAAATAAAATATCACTTTAGTGTAGAGGATTTTCACAGCTACAACATATTCGAAGCTGGGAAAAAATCGAGCGAAAGTAATCGAGATGTTGCTCAAGACTGGAATGTAGAACCAAGATTTCAGAAAAACTCACCTCTTTTTAAAAAATTTCTGGTGAGTGCCCCTTAAAAGGGCCGTTACTAAGTGGGAGGGGTGCCCCATTTTCACCTCTGGTAATTGTACTTTTCCTTTCCATCCAAAAAGTGCTTCTAATTTAAAGCTATTAAGAGCAACTTTTCTTCGATTTCACCCAAATTTGGCTCGCTACACTAGCTCGTATTTAAAGTTGATATTATTATGTTTCTTATCAAAAATATTTTCAGTCTTTCACGATTAGATTATGCTCAGCTTAAGACCCCCATCAGGGTTGTTTTTGCCTCCTTATAAGATGTATTTGCGCGCGACCTCACAAATTTTTGCTCGCTCGCAAATAAATATTTATACCAGCATGCACACCCAACTGCAAGGTACATGTATGTGTATGATGGTTAAACAGTATTTTGGACCATGTAAAGAGAGAAACAATCATTGAAACCATCCCTGATAATGTAATCATAGTGTAGGGGTATATAACCATGTCTACAAAATTGTATATTTTCGCTTTGAGTTTTCCCTTTGTAGGTGCCCCTTTTTCCCGGAAAGTGCCCCCTTGTTGTTGATGCTCCCCCTCACTATGAATGACGCTCCGCATCCCCTGGCCTGCTAAAATCCCCGAGCTTCCGGGGGCTCCGCCACCTCGACCCCACGCCAATGTACGCTCTACCTGATCGGAAGCCTCCCCAACTTTGAAAAAAGGTTCCACGGGACCTGATCCTGATGAAATGTGTTTAAAGCTGTTGAATGAAACTGAAGCCCGACGCCAGTAATTGCTATCAACCCTTGTCAATTCATCCCAAATGTTTGAAAAAAAAACTTTTTTTTGTTTGGTCCCAAAAATTTCGCAACGACTCAAGGGGGGGGGGGGGGGATATCCAACAAAAATGACACACACACATACAAAAAATGAGGGGGGGGGGGCTTGTTCCGATATTAAAGGTAATGCAAAGTTTTGGGAAATTTTGAAAATTGGGTGGATAGTGAATCTTTACAATTTTGATATATTTGGATGCCACTGTGGATGTATTATAAGCATTAAAAGAATTAACTCCTAAAACACTTCTGTTTTCGAGAAAAATTGAATATAACAATTTACCGGTGCTCCCGGTAAATTTTTAAAAATGTCAATAGCGCCTACGGCCGAACAATGGTAGCTGCAACCATGAAAATCTCAGAATGTAGTATATAATTTCCAAACGGTAATAGCAAATCGGTCGATTTTAGTCAAGAAACATTGATTGTTTCATAGCTAAAATCTTGACCTTGAGAGGGAGCTATACATCATAAAGAGTTTATTATTTATAATTTCATAACTTAAGACTCCATTTCAACAGGGACAACGATCAATGCATATTGTAGGAACGCATATGCTAATATCATGTTAATTTGAACCAAATTCATGACCCCATACCTTTAATATTATCTGGAAGTAAAAAAAAAAATAAAAAAAATTGAAGAGCGCCATCACAAGCTGGAACAGTGACAACACAGGAAACTTCCCTATGTTTATCGAATTAATTGTCATTATTTCGGCTTCATCATGCGGCGAGCGGCAGGTCTCGGGAAAATCAACAAACACAAACTTGCTCAGGTAAGATATTCTATTTCAATTTTGTAAAGTAAAAAGTTAAACTTCAGGATAAACGGTGTTAAAAGTTGTGGACTCTGCATTCAGTTGTTTAGCTGTGGTCCGACATACTCTTATTGATGTGGGAGTAGGCTAATCAGTTTCTATGTAAAGTATGCATATGAAATGAATGGGTGACCAAAGTTCGCAGAGATTTTGTGTCCCGGTATTAGAGTATGTGATATTCGATCTATGATTTCTCATATTCTCCACAAATTTATTAATTTCAATTTTTACCAGATGGACGGCAAAAATATACTAAAACTTGGCTTCAAGAAATATCGCAATCTAAAATAAAAATTTGATGTCGGATCGGCGTGCACGCTGCAACCACTCCAGCAAAGCATAGAGAGTCAATGCTAAAGCGTATTGACCTCTAGCACTGCATACATGCTGTGAGGCAGGGACCTAGAAGTCTATACACAAATACACACACCACACAATATCGCATAGACTGTACACAATCATGTCGATGCAGCTGTAAGCAAAATTTGACACTAGACTTACAATTTGAATTTTTAAATTATTCTTTTTAACATTAGTAAGTTGAAATAAATGTATTTTACTGCTATTTAGGTGTCATCAATTGTCACTAAAGTACTGATTTTGAGTGAAATCAGTTGAGTTTTGTACAGTGGTGTTTGAAATGTTGAGAATCAAAAGCACAGCTTTTACTACACAGCCAGGATAGTGATGCTCCTATGTGTGGCTGCAACTAAAAAAAGTCATAAAAACATTTAGACCTTACTTCGCGCAATGAGGCTAGTACAGCTGATTTATCAAAAAATGCTATAGAAATTTCATAATTTGCAAGGCAAGATATCATACAATCAGCTGGCACCACTTTTTATTTATAATTTTGAGGATATCTGCTCTTAAAATGAAAATTTCCAAACCTTTATCGGTAAGTTAAGTATTTTTCGGAACAGACCGCAAAATTTGCTGATCTTTTGTCAATATTTTCATAATTTTACACCCAATCCCAAAGAAAATTTCATCTTTTTCCATTGGTGATATCTAATTTTCGAAATGTCATCAATTTTTTGAGATAGCAAACTTAAAAAATAGAAGGTTAGACTCTGGCACAAATGTTGGGTTTCCAAGTTGAAAAGGACATTTTAAGTAATGATGTACATCTCTTGTCATGTATATGAACTACCTTGGACCAATCCTGCTGATACACAAATCAATTAAAGCCAAATCTATCAGGAACAGCTACATGTCATTCAAGCTTACAGTTAACAACTAAATTATTCATACCCCTTGTAAATTTGATGTTTTTTTGTGTTTTTCGTAACTCAAGAAAAAAAGGTGCACTGGTTGAGTTAGGTACTTTGTCAAATACTTTTAGATGTACCGGTAAGCTTTAATGCCCCACTGTCCTACTTGTAGCTACTTGCTCCCTCTATATAGAAAACTTCCCCAATCGGTGCCTGTTGATCCCCATGATCCTCTTTTTCTTATGTTAGTTGAGAGCTGAGTTAATGAGATAGCCACCTGTCGGTGACCTCGCTGTGTGGTCTAATCCCTTCTGGCCCAGTAGTATTGACGACCTTTAATATGTCACATTCTCAAAAACATGAATTGGAAGAAATCAATTACTCAACTACAGTACTTACAAAAGTACAAAACTTGTTAAGGGTATGAATAATTTAGTTGTTAACAAATAAAAATGTATTCCAAAAATCAAATACCCGGTAAGCTTGTACTGCACCAGTCTCTATCTCTAATTTGTTGTAACCATTGCACCTAGGCCAAGTACAAGGACAAAGGATCGGAGATTGCGGAGGATCAGCTGAATCAGATGAGCCGACAGCTTGAGGTGTTCATGACCAACCTGAATGTATTTAAAATGTATTTCAAATAAGCTTGTACTGCACCAGTGTCAGTCTTTATTTTTTTTTTGGTGACCTATCCACCTAGGCCAAGTACAAGGACAAAGGATCTGAGATTGCGGAGGATCAGTTGAATCAGATGAGCCGACAGCTTGAGGTGTTCAGGACCAATCTTGAAGAGTTTGCTGCCAACCATAAGTCAGAAATCAAGAAGAACCCAGAGTTTAGGATGCAGTTCCAGGACATGTGCGCCACCATTGGAGTCGATCCATTAGCATGTGAGTGGTTAAAGGCAGAGATGCCAACCAGTACGATTAAAACTCATTTAGTTCTATAATAAGAGTGAAATACAATAATACAATATCACCTCTTAAAATAAGATTTTTCATTTTTCAAAAAACAAAAGAAGAAAAAAAAAAGACAAAAAACCCCTAAAAACCACGGAATCCCATAGAAACATGTACAAGTAAGCCCTGCAACCCCAACAAAAACTTTGCTTTACAATTTTCTCATTACATTTTGATGATCGAGCAAACATTTTACTTGACCGTTCTTACCAGTGTAACATTTTCCTGAAATTTTACTGGCCCAGGGCCAACGCGCCAGTGTAGACTAGTGTCGAGTTTTCATGAAAATCTGATTTTTCTCTTCAAACTCTGATTTTTTAGGATACTCTGTCTGTTTTTTTTGTGTCAAGAGGTTGGGATCTCTGTAGGGGAGCTTCACCTGGGGTTATTTCACAAAGACTAAGATTGACTTTAAGTTGGACTTAACTATGGCACACCATTCATGCCACTGGTTGCTCTCACTTTTGGTCTCTCAATTATGATCTGTAATGTTTTTCCCTTCAGTAATGAACTATCAAAAAATGTAGATATGTGACCATGTTTTGCAAGTCCCTTGATAGACCAATGCCAGTAAATGGTGAGAGAAAACGGTGGCATGAACAGCCTGCCATAGTTAAGTCCAACTTAAAGTCAATCTTAGTCTTGGTGAAACACTCTCCTGGATATTATCTTGGTGTTAATAAAAGCAGAGAAAATGAGAGAAAGAAATAAGTGAATGTTTAAGCAATACCCAATTAAAAATAACAGCTGGGAAAGGGTTTTGGTCAGAGCTGTTAGGAGCATAAGATTTCTACTGCGAGATAGTGACAATGAAATATTGCTAGACTTTGCAACGGATGTAGAACCCTTTCTTTTTTTTTACTTATTTTTCTTGGGCCTGTCCTTGTTGGTGATCTTGGTCTATATTTTCATTTTTTTAAATATTCTTAACAAACAGCTGGGAAACGGTTTTGGTAAGAGTTGTAGTCCTGACTCGAGTTGTGAGTTTTCTGCCAAGAGATATTGACAATGAAATGTTGCTATACCTTGCAACGGATAGTTTTATCAAAGTTGACCAATTTTTGTTTGTACAGTCAAACCTGTCTACGGCAACCGCAAAAACCGCAAGGGAAACACAAAAAGTGTTTTTTGTAGACAGGTTCCTTTAGTACATGTTTCAATGAGAAACCATTTTCAAGGGAAACAAAAAATGTTCTTGTTGTAGACAGGTGGTCACTAAACCAGGTTTTGACTGTACTTGTTTTTCTTTTGCTTGTTGTTATTAGCGATCTCTGTCATAATTTGATTTTTTTTCCTACTCTTATCAGCCGGGAAAGGGTTCTGGTCAGAGATGTTAGGAGTTGGAGATTTCTACTATGAAATTGGCGTTCAGATCATTGAGGTTTGCCTGGCGACGCAGCATCGCAACGGAGGACTCATGAACCTTGAAGAGCTGCTCCACAAAGTCAGGAAAACGAGAGGACAGACAAAGCAGGCCCAGGATGTCAGTCTGTAAGTACATCTTGAAGTTGAAGTTTCTTTCAGAGGGGTTTTTCACAAAGATCCTAAGTTGGACTTAAAAATTATGGGAAGCCATTAACATCTATGAAAATATTTTGTAAAATTTATTTTAAATGGCATAAAATGTTGATTCAAATCATTCATATTTTCTATTATCAAGGAGATTTCATGTTCTTGATGTGGAATTTAAACTTTATGTAAATGAATGGTAAGTGATAATAACGAAAAAAAGCTATGCACTAGAACGTTCCCATACATACCTGCATGTTATGATATGTGAAGTGCATTACGCTTAATTCACTCCTGCGGTTTATAGTGGATTTCCGCGGCATACATTGTATGTGGACAAGGTTTTAGAGGTAAAGTCCTTTGCTCATGCATGCATGCATTTATTCCCATTCATCTTGTTTTTTGCCTTTTTCTTTTTCTCATCTTTAGCGATGACATCAAAAGAGCTATCAAGAAGCTGAAAATCTTGGGGAATGGATTCGGTCTTCATTGCCTGGACGATGGGCGGTTCATCGTTCAGTCTGTACCGGCAGAGCTTAGTATGGACCACACAAGTGTTCTCAATGTAGCACAGGTGAGTGTCCAAAATTGGATCGTTGTTAGATCGTATATTGTGCAATGGGCTTTAGACTAGTTGTGTTCTTACTATCTCTGAAAGGGCTTAATTTGGACCACATAATGTAGCACAGGGGAGTTTTAATAGCCCAACGCACACTTCACAGATCTCATACAACCTCATTTAAAATAAATGGGAATAATAGTAGATAGATATGAAAATGTAAACAAACATCTTCTCCCTGATTTGGATTCCAAATAATGATAAGAAAACTAATAAATGGAATTGTAGTATTTTTTCAAATCAAATTAAAAACAGAATAGGCTTCAAATCATAGACCATCACAGTGTGTTGGCTCAGTCATTAGAGCGTTCGCCTCACAACCGGGAGGACCGTCATGGGTTCGAACCTCGGCCGCGTCATACCAAAAGACGTCAAAAGACGGGAGTTGCTGCTACCTTGTTTGGCGCTCAAAATTAAAGGATAGAGCAACCTCGATCTGGCGCTGCTCAGTGGCTGCCGGGCTCATGATCAATTGGGCAAAAAGAATTTCCATTTTCGGTTTAACTTATTATCATTATTAGTACTGGTCACTGGTCAGACAACAATTTAGCTTATCCTTCTCAAAGGAAGCATGATATCCCATTAAATTTAGATTTTATTAATAATACATGTATGACTATTCAGATCCTTGGTCATGAAGTTTTGACAGGTTTAACTGTTCATTTCAAATGCTATCATTTCAAATTCTTCCAAAATTGGATCTTAGTCAGAACGTGTAGTGTGCTATGGATGGGCTTTAAACTAGTTGTGTTCTTATTATCCCTGCAAAGGCTTTGTTTGAATCTCGATAGCTTGTATGAGTTAACTCAGTAGTGTTCATACTCGTATTCTAAAAAACTTTCCAGGAAAAGACTACATTAATGACATTGGAATACAATTTTTAGATTGTTTTCATTGAGCAATATATATTTTGTTTAACAGTTGTATTGTGCAATCAGTAAATTTGTTTTCTGGTCAATATGTTCAACATATTTTGTGTATCTGCCATTATAATTGAAAGTGTTATTTTTCTCTTTGTTTTAGGGTACCGGATGTGTGTCTGTCTCAGATCTGAAGACCAAACTGAAATGGGAAGAAGACAGAGCAAGACTAGTTATGGTATGATTATTATGATATCAAGTTTAAAGGGATAGACCAGTTTTGGAAACACCCCCCTCTCAAAAAATGAATTGGAAGCTCTTATTACCAATCATATGAAAGAATATGTTTTGACTAATACATGATGACACAAATTTTGCCGAGAAATCACCTACTAATTGATATATTTGGTAAATTATCATATCGATCCGGCCTGGATAGATATCGCCAGTGCACTCCAACATCAAACATATGGGCATACATTTCTGCTTTTTTTGCGAATTTAGGTTGAAGCATTGCCATCTAAACCTCTGAAGGCAATATTTAAACAATATTGAATGGATATTTGAACTGCAATTTTACAACTAACGGTCTAAATGTTTAACACTTCAATTGCTGTATTTGCCTCTCTTGAATGGATGCTCATTTGCCACACGTGCAACTTTACACAAAACAATAGGATTACTTCGTGCAACACAGTGGTTTAGCAAAATTCCAGTCTTGATTAGCTCCATGACAACCCTAGGAAACACCTGTATATCTTTATCTGCACTGGAAACAGTTAAAGCCCCACTGTCCTACTTGCAGCTACTTGCTCCCTCTATATAGAAAACTTCCTCAATCGGTGCCTGTTGGTCCCCCATGATCCTCTTTTTCTTATGTTAGTTGAGAGCTGAGTTAATGAGATAGCCACCTGTCAGTGACCTCGCTGTGTGGTCTAATCCCTTCTGGCCCAGTAGTATTGATGGTCTTTAAATGATCTTGAAGTTGTTGGTTATCGATCCCATGATACATACAATGTTCTCTTTCTTCCTGTAAAGAAACCAGATGTTAAAGCCTATCTGAACTAGTTTGTCCAGGAGGGATTAGACCTCCCTTCATGGTTATCTCATCAAAGCTCTCAATTAACATAAGGAAAGGGGGACCATGGGGGACCAATGGTCACCGATTAGGAATTGTTTGCTATATAGAGGGCGTAATAAGCTATAAGCAGTGCAGAGGGGCTTTAAGATTCTTATAGAAATAAAGTTAAGTTAAAGACAAGAAGGGACAGGAGAGATGAGCTTGAATAACCTAATTTTAAGCTAGTCTTTTCAGATGTTGGTTGTATTTACATGTTTATTCTTCTCTTTTCTTTACATCTTCTTTCCCTCTCAATTTGTTGTCTCCTTCATCCTATTTTTGTCACTGCTCTCTTTTTTCTCTTCGTTGTGGGTATCCTGGCTCTGTTGTCCTATTCTTCCTCTCTTTCTCCCTCTCATAGGATCAGCTGGTCAAGGAAGGTTTAGTATGGGTGGACGACCAGGACAGGTCAGGCAGGCTCTACTGGTTTCCAGGACTCTTCCCAGAAACTTGATGAAAGTGATTATTTTATTCTGTTTCATACACTGTGTTGACAAATGTATATGAATAATAATCTGGATTTATACAGCGCTTAGCACAGAATACCATCTCTAAGCGCTTCATAGGTATATTTCATATACTGTGTTGATAAATGTATAGGATTAATAATATGGATTTATACAGTGCTTAGTACGGAATACCACCTCTAAGCGCTTTATAGGTATTATTACCCAGGTCATCGGATTCATTCAAGCACAATGAGCACCATCTTCACTCCCTGGGGAGTATTCGTACAGTATGGTCAGCGCGAGGGCATATGGCAATTACTATCACAATTCACAAAGGCTATTGTCATCCTACCAGGTCCCCGGGGTTTCTCCTGGTTATGGAAAAAGGACATTAGTGCCATGTCAGGGTATCGAACCCACAACCTTTGCATTTAAAGTCGAGTGCTTAAACCACTCAACTATGACACCTCAATGTAATTATTACTATTATGTTAGTATGTGAACTTATTTATCACTAAGGGTGTCATTAAAAACTCCGGACAAGCTCTACTAGTTTCCCAGAAACTTGATAAATGTGATGATTTTATACTAGTGACTTTATATGCAACTCGATGTTAGTAAATATATATCATATATCATATGGTCATTAGCACTGTCTAGAGTTAAGTCTCGAAGGTAAACTGGTTTCCTTGCATAATTTGAATACTAGGACACTGCTAAGGTTGAAATTCCACAGATAGGACATACATGACATATTCATAATTCCTGCAAAGTTCTACAGAATTTGATGTTGGCTGCAAAAAAGGACATACATGTAGTTTAAGAGTCATGGTTCAACATTTGCCCTGAGTTGATCTTGACACCACTGTCATCCTACTTCTTCTCATAACCCAATACTGTTGTCATCAGGGGGGGGGGGGGGGGGGGGGGGGGGGGGGCGTCATGAAACAATTAGTCGGTGGTTTTCACCGACTAATATCATTTTCACCGACAATTTAGTCAGCACTGACTACATTTGACCAATCAGAGGCCTGGAAAATAGTAGGTGACAATAGAATTGTCGGTGAACATGATATTAGTCGGTTAAAACCACCGACTAATTGTTTCATGAAACGCCCCCCTGGGCCCCCCGTCTTATAAAGAGTTGATATCAATAGCAATTCAGTTGCAACTATGTAAATAAGAGATATGAGACTGCAAACTTGCAATTGATCGGAGGACTTGCCATTGATCTAAATTGATCAACCGCGACTCTTTACGATACAGGGCCATGGTTCCATAAATGGGAGGGCTAGACAGGTAGGAGGCTCCATTAGAAAACAGGATATGCAGAGCTGCCAACCATTCCGTTTTTGCCGGAATTACTCCGTTTCCCCCCCCCCCAAAAAAAAAAAAATTACGGTATTACGTTTTTTCTTCATAAAATACGTTTTTTAATAATTTTTTTTTTTTTTTTTTTTTTTTTTTTTTTTTTTTTACATACCACACGTCAAACAACTGCCCTAAAATGGCGATTTGATCACAAATTCAATAGAAAACTAACTTGAAGAGAAAAAATATTCTCAAAAAAAATGAAATGCCGATAATACCAAAATAACCACCAACAAAACTACCTGCTTGTATGGAAAAAACAGCATGATGAATGAACATTTCTGCATTGGAAGTGTCTCGCGCGTGGTTGTAAGTTTCGTTTTTATGAATTCCTTTTTTTGCTTGAAATTCCTTTTTTTTGCCATCATGATTCCTTTTTTTGGTCGCACAAGGTTGGCAGCTCTGGATATGTGACTTGAATAGGGCTAATTGAGGAACCCATGTTTGATCTGTTACTTTAATATAGTTTAGCAGTCCCTGAAATTCAATTTGATTCATTATTTTATGGTCTGTAAAATTATAGAGAAAGAGAAAGAAACATATATGACTAAACAAAATTGCACCTGGGCAAATCTTAGCCCAATGTCGAGTTTTTTCCACAATTGTGACAATTCAAATTTTGGCTGTCTTTACAAAGTTACACTTAATCAGAGAAATTTTCTTTTTTCAGTCCGAATTCCTTCTACCACGTTTACATTATCCATTTTCTTCTTATTTAATACATAGAATGGTGTTCCTTTGAACACCTACCGCTTCATATCTGAACAAGACTTAACATGGATCCCAGGACTAGAGCCCCCCACCCCCCACCCCCCACCCCCCCCCCTTCACTCAGTGTTATTTAGGGTACGCGTATGCATGATCTCTCCCTTTGAAAGCATCCCCCTAAATCCGGTGTGTAAAGTCAATACGGGCCTATTTTTTGTGCAGTACGAGCCAGACTTTGAACCGTGCTCAACTCTTAATCCTTGTCTGAATGTCATGAATGTAGGCCCTCCGTTCGCGGAGTTGGGGGAGGGGGGGGGGGCGGGGATTAGAGCAAATTATTTATTTATATATTTATTTATTTCTAATCTTTTGACAGGGTAGCCCATTCACCAACAAGTAGTGGTCTTCCATGGGGCCCTGAATGAACATATTTACATCGTTTATAACATTTTTACAGAATAGTCACAAAAATAATACTCGTTTGCAAAATAAACATAAATCATTAACCTAGTAAACAGTAATGTCAATAGGAAAATATTAATTAAGTCGCAATTATGTGAATATTACAGAACATGCACGTAGTGTATGTTCGGCTGAGCCATTCACAAATTACAACTTTGTTTAAACAATCTCTTAAATGAATGTGTGTAAAAGACACAAGTAATTATATCTAATTTGTTTCTGAAAATGGCTACACACACTGAGCAGAATTCAATACTCCAGTGTATGCATGTATTTAAAAAATCTCAAGCAAATGCTTGTGATGTGAACATGAAAAGTGCCCCTATTTAATCAGATGAGGAAGAGAGGATCACAAAGGCTTTAAATAGGTCACCCTCAGGCAATGCCTGTGCGTGACCCATTCCACCGTGCAAACTTGACAATGCAATATTCTGTAATCTGAATATGATTGTTATATGCGGTATAAAAGGTTATTGAAATTGACCCAAAATTTGTTATGTTGGGTTGGGTTGTTTGTAGTGTTAATACAGAAAGATATTGGAATGTATGTATACCAAGTAGCGGATCCAGGGGGACCTCCCCCCCCCCCCCCTTTACCCTGGGAAAAAAATGTGTAAAAACATGTTAATTTTACCCTTTTTGGAGATGGGCCCCCTCCCCTGCTGCTGAAGGGGGGAGGGGGTGCGATTTTTCACATTTTCGAGGGCCCCCCAAAAAGAATTAGTGCTCATGAATTGGGCCCCCTCCCCTGCCACCGACTGGATCCGCCCCTGTGTATACCGGTACCCGTAGTAATAATGTGTTGACTTATACAACATGTGTTTTGAATGAATGTGAACATCAGCAAGATTGTTTAAGAGGCATTTACTGTTATACAGTCAAATCTGCTTTAGTGACCACCTGTCTGCAAAGACAAACATTTTTTTTGTTTCCCTTGACCATGGTTTCTCATTGAAACATGTACTAAAGGAACCCGTCCTTGCTGTCTACAAAGACCACTTTTTGTGTTTTCTCTTGGGCGGTCGCTATAGACAGGTTTGACTGTATATCCAGTCTTTGGTCAGCCTTATTTCTTGTTCGTAATTGAAATACTGTACATTTATTTGAAATATGAATGTGTATTACCTAATAAAAATGTAAAAAGAGATAAAAAATAAAATGTAAAAAGAGATAAAATAACATTCTTTTGTGTACATTTGGTATTTTCCATCTCTTGGTGGACTGATTGATCTGTCGGTAGTTCATGCCATCACATTTGATGCATGCTTTTCTATTCACGGAGTGAAGGCGAGAGAGAGGAGGCAGAGAAGAGAAAGGGAAAGAGGGGAGGGGATGAAATAGAGTGAGTGAGAGAGAGAGAGAAAGAGAGACAGAGAAGGGGGGCGGCAGAATGAGGGCAATTAAAAGAAGGGGAGAAAGAACCAGGCGCGGATCCAGGATTTCTTGGGGGGGGGGGGGGCCAAATTTGAAATTATGCAAGCCAAATATTGGTACGTAATGATGACACCGGCAGCGGCAAAAACTTTTTTTTTTTGGGGGGGGGGGTAGAATAACAAAAATCCCCATCATCCCCATTACATCCAGGCCCGGCTGAACGTTTGTTGGCGGAGGACAAGGGATGGGGCCCCCATAAGCTCAGGGGTATAGGCATTTAATTACTGTCAGATGAGCATGGGTGTCGATCACGGGGGGGGGGGGGGGGATATATCCTCCCCCAATATTTCAGGTGGGGGAATGGCCAGTACAATCATCCCCCCCAATAATTCACCATCAAAATGAAGAGAAAAATTAATGATGAGAGCCCGATGAGAGTAGTTGACCACAAGATGACCACCAATATAAATATTTTGCTATCTCATTTTCATAATACATACATATGTAAATAGGAAACGAAGTAAATGAGACAACCTTATATGAGACAAGAATAAATTGAATTCTCGCTCATACGGCGTCATCAGGAATTGATGGTTGAATTGATTGATGAATTTATTCAATTCATTCAATCAACAGCATCATAGAAATGCAGTGCGCCAAATGCAAAGCCGCAGCGTTAAAAAGCAACGAGCTAAATGTTAAGCGCGAAGCGCAAAAGTGCAAAAAAGAAGTAAAAAGTGGGAGAGAGAGATAATGAGAGACTGAGAGGATAATAGCCCAGGTAGCAAGCCCATTTAGTACCCACATATCCCATTTCCCCCATATGGGCTTGCTACCTGGGAAAAGGGGAAAAGGGGAAGAAACGGGCAGAAGAAAAAAGGAAGGGGGAAGAGAAAAGGAAGAAAGACAAGAGAAAGACGGTTTTGTCCAAATGGCAGCATGTAGGAGACGAAAATTTCAGTTTGTTCCCTGATTCATACTCCGTATCTATTTTGTTTTATTGATTCCATTCATTTCTTTGTTTATTTATATCTCTACATGTAAAACATTTCAAGAGCTATTTTCCGAAAGGAGCAAAATCTTTTGATAGCAAAATGGAAATAATGATATACATTTTTCTCTATTTACCTTGAACACATGCATCTTTTTATAACAATTTTCCATAGACACCTGAACAAATTCGGGTAAACAAAGAGTTTTTTCTTAAGTTACACACATGGATCTAGTGCCTCTTGAAAACAAGCTCTGTGTATGTACATAAACAACCAATACAACGGAATACTCCAGTTCGATATTTTGGAGAAAGATTATTATGTCACAACTTATTTTTGTTTTATTGAAAAGCAGATATAGGCCTATATGTATTGTATTCAAACGAAACAGGCATAAGATAGTTAAGGTGTTTTTGAAGGTTAGAATGTTATTTAAGTTTGAAGTTTTGTCTATAACACCCTTCCAATAACAATGCACCTTCTAAGACTGGTTATAGTTTTGAAAGAAAAAAATAGTGTGGGAATATTATGCTTATACTTTAGAGCGTATCTGGTATGATAAGTATATCTGGGTGAAGAAGGAGATAATGGAAGTTTGTTGTTTGGTAGTTGGAATGTTAGTGTTATATTATGTTTTTAAGAAAC